GGGGGACAGTAGCTATACGGTGTGTGGCTTCTCTTTGAGGTGATGAAACTACCCTAAAATGATTGTGGTAATAGTTGCACAACTTTGTGAATAACTAAAAACCATTGAATTGTATGCTTTAAATAGGTAAATTGTATGGTACATGATTTATATCTCAATAAAGCTATTATCAAAGAATGTTACCATCTAAATGTTAATGACTCAATCATCAAAAGTTAAAACTATGTAATTAAATGTTTTAAGAGTCTAGCTGAGTATTATTTTTACTCCTTTAAGACTGAAATCACAAAAATACACACAGTAATTCAATTGTATCAGGGAAATTTTCTTGAAAATGTCAATTCGTGATTTGTTGAAGTATTTCAAAATCACAAAAAGGACAAAACTCAGAGAAGTACTTTTGTTTTTTCCTGCTGTCATACACATATGCAACTATTTAAAAGGGTAGGTCTGTCCTAATGAGAGCATTTAGACAGGAAAAAGGAATAAAAGGCATCCAAATGGGAAAGGAAGAAGTAAAAATGTCACTATTTGCAAATGACATGATTTTGTATACAGAAAACCCTAAAGACTCCACCAAAAAAAGAAAACTGTTAGAACTAATAAATTCAGTAAAGTTGCAGGATACAAAATCAATACAAAAAATCTGTTGAAGTTTTATATTCTAACAACAAACTATAGGGAAGAGAAATTAAGATTACACCATTTATAATTACACCAAAAAGAGTGAGAGATAACTAAAGAGGTAAAACGCCTGTAAGCTGAAAACTATAAGACACTGAAGATAATGAAGACAACACAAATAAATGGAAGATATTCTGTGCTTCTGGATTAGAAGAATTAATATTGTTAAAATACCCATATTACTCAAAATAATCTACAGATTCAACCCAATTCCTATCAAAATTCTAATGGTATTTTTCACAAATAGAAAAAACAATCCTAAAATTTGTATTGAACCTTAAAAGATCCTGAATAGCCAAAGTAATCTTGGGGAGGAAAAAAAAAAAAAACAGCCCTGGCTGGTGTGGCTCAGTGGATTAGATGTCAGCCTGCAAACCAAATGGTCGTCAGTTCAATTCCCAGTGTAGGGCACATGCATGGGCTGCAGGCCAGGCCCCCCAGTAAGGGGCATCTAAGAGGCAACCACACATTAACGTTTCTCTCCCTCTCCTTCTCCCTCCCTGCCCTTCTCTAAAAATAAATAAATATAATCTTTTAAAAAAAAAGAAAAGAAAAAAGCTAGAGACATCACACTCCCTGACTTCTAACTATAAAAATCAAAACATTGTTACTGCCTTAAAGACAGACACATAGATCAATGAAACAGAATAGGGAGCCCAGAAACAAACCCATACATATATAGCCAATTAATTAATGGCAAAGGAGGCAAAAATATTCCATGGGAAAAGGACAGTCTCTTCAACAAGTGGTGATGGGAAAACAGGACAGCCACAGGCAAAATAACAACACTGGGCCAATATCTTAAACCACAGGCAAAAATTACTTCAAAATGGATTAAAGACTTCAATGTAAGACCTGACACTATAAAACTCATAGAAGAAAACATAGGTGGTAAGCTCCTTAACATGGTACTGATTTGTTGGACCTGACTCCAAGGGCAAGGGTAACTAATGCAAAAATTAACAAATGGGACTACAGCAAACACGAAAACTCTGCAAAGCGAAGGAAACCATCAACAAAGTGGCTCAAAGCTTATTAATCATCTATCACATTCACTGGATCATGCGAATATTAACATCCTTGTCTTGCCATAACTTCTATATACTTCCATTCTTATATACAAGTATATTTCCTGAGGCTTCTATCAGTACCAGCTTTCTTTTGACACTTCAAAAATACCATGCTCACACCCAGGCTGCTGTGGTTCAGTGGACTGAGTGCCAAATGGTCACCAGTTCAATTTCCAGTCAGGGCACATGCCTGGATTGCAGGCCAGGTCCCTAGCAGGGGGCGTGCATGAAAGCCAACTACATATTGATGTTTCTCTCCCTCTCTTTCTCCTTCCCTTCCCCTCTCTCTAAAAATAAATAAATAAAATCTTCTTGAAAAAATATATCACGCTCACAGTTTTTTCTTTTTCTTTTTTTCCTGCACCACTTTCCACTGCCCTACCCACCCTCACCTCCCAGCTTCAATCCTACTCCATTTTGGTTTTGTCCATGGGTCCTTTTATTTTGCCCACATTCCTATTATTCAAGTTTTCTATTTAGAAATTTTTCTTCTAAAAAAAAAAAACAAAAAAACCCCACAGCTAATACCTTATAGGATCACCATATTTCCTTTGCAGTTACAAGCTCATGACCTACAGGTACTCCTGACTGAATGTGGCTCAATATCCAAAGTGGCATGCCATACCTGCCCCAGACTGGAATGTCAAAACTGCCTCTTCTTCAGTATGTTCTGCATTAGACCATAAAGGTATATGTATTTAAAACTGTGGTGATTTAAAAACTACTTTTTTTTTTTTACATAAAATGACCACTATGAAATTTTGTGGTAGAATTAAATCACTTTATGTGTTGAGCCAGTTCTTTTTTTTTAATTGAAAAATCTTCATAGCACCTTTCTTTTTTGAGACTTTACTTTTTTTTGAACACTTTTGATTCACAACAAAATTGAGAGCAAGGCATAGAGAGGTACAGATATTTTTCATATACTCCCTGCCCCCGCACATAATACCCTCTTCTATTATCAATACCATTCATGAGAATGGTCATCTGTCATCAAGAATGAACCTACACTGACACATCATAATTACCTAAAGTCCATAGTTTATCTTTTTTTTTTTTTTTGGCCCGTTCTTAATCACATACCAATGGCTTCAACTGCAGGCAAAAGAACATTAACATCCAAGTACAATTTGATTCACACTAAAACAAATCTTTTCAAACAAATTCCTTTTTCCTCTACCAAGATTTACATACAAAATTTGAAGATCTCTCCTCCATCCTCCAAGAGAGGCACCTAGAATTGAGTTAAGCAGTTTGTTCCAGCTGCTTGAACTACAATCTCATGAGGCTAACTCTTGAATGCATTTTAAGCTGTACGTCCTTGAAAACTAATAGAATGGGTCAGAGTCGAAGGACACTCTGAGGTCTGAACGTGATAAAAGGTAGATGTGGGGGAAACTACTCGGAACTAAGAATGTACAAAAGGCACACAGAAAAGTAATTTTAAAAATACATTTGAAAGCAATTACTGAAAAACATCTGGAATAGTACACATTACCATGCTATTTAAATACTGGCAACATCAATTTATTTGTCTCTCTATTTTTATAAAACCAGGTATCAATACTCTAGAGTATGCTTCCTAACCACTTCTTGACAAACACTTTAAAAACCTATGCTTTAAACGCAACAGCCAGCGTAACTAAGAATCTTTTTTACACATTATTTTAATTTTTTAATAGACATAACAACCATCTCTGTCACTTGTTTTCATCTTTCACTTGCTATGATACTTAAATTTTAATTTTCCTTAATACTTAATGCCTGCTTCTATTTGCTGAACCTATATAACTATCAAAGAACTAAAACTTTAACTATTTTACTTGAAACTCACAAACAACCTTGTCTACAGATATTATAATTTCTATTTCATAGATAAGGACACTGACATACCAACCACATTATAAATATATAAACACATGTGCATCCACTGTTTGGGGGCATGATTATTTAATGATTAAGGGCTGATAATGATATTTGAAATATATTTTATTCCTTCTATCAAAAGATCAAGTCAATTAAAACAAAGTCATACCCATCCAACTTCCACACATTCAACAAAGGAATATTTTCATCTTTGCCTCAACAAGTCATCTACTATAATTCGAAGACTATTTCTAACACATCCCAAGAGACCAACTAAACTCCCTAAAATTATGCATGACAAAACAATACCTTGGCAAGTACTTAAAAACTAAATAAACAAATAAAGCATTCTACTCTGTAAGGGTAGTGCTAGAAATAATGTCACATATCAACACTGTTACTTCTTGAGAGTTGTCATTGCTTGAGGCACACAAGCTTTAACAAATTTAACAAGAAAAAAAAATGTAATAATTCTCCTGTCCTGTGAAGCAAATGCAGCTCAGAAGCTAGCTGCTCATTCTCACATACTCCACATCAATTAAAAGCTTCTTATCAGGACAGACAACTGTAACAGATTCAGTGGAATTAAATACAGGTCCGGATATTGTGGAGGCATCGTAAGTTTCTAGCTCCCACAGACTCAAGTAAGACTAAATTTCTTTCAGTTCGAGTTAAATGAGAGAAACTGCAATTCATATTTCCAGAGGCAAGAGTGGCATATTTTCCAGTAAGTTTCTTGTTCTCATTTTACTATTTTAAGAATTCTGATCACTCCCAGCATTGCTGTGTGGTAAGATCTGAATTCTGGTGACTGATCATTTTCATGACATGATGCTTTACTAAAACTGTCTCAAAACACTGTTTTCATTCGCATTTAGCTACAGTGTATTTATATACAAAATACCACTTCAATGGCATCATGCCAAGAAAAGAAATAGCTTGCTAGAATTTCAGTTGACTTTGTTAAAGGAAATTATTTTAAATTAATGTGGCTACTGAACTGCTGCCATCCTTAACCTCAGAAAATATATCCCTTCTAATTTTTGCTATGAACATTTATTTACTTAAGTTAAATTCCAGCTCATGAATGTTGACCATAAGGAGTCTAAACCTTCCTGCTACTATTTCATATTCTTTTTCTAAACAAGGGTAACCACATGTTTGCTGCATTAGTATGCACAGCCAAATCACCACCGTTAAGTGAAATCATCTATGTATTTTTGGTAGAATCTTTAACAACTTCCACGCCCGTCAGTGAAATGGAACAAGGCTGTTTTGTTTTCAGAGAGCAACAAATTGATCTCTGGTTTACTAGATGGCGCTCAAAATATTTTTCCATATGTTTTTCCGCAAAGAGAATCTGACATCAGCATGGTTTACCTTTACCAGTGAATGCAGGCTTTTTTCAGCAAACATATCCCAGAGGAAGGCTAGGTCTTCCTGGCTATCCACGTGTGGCTGCAGCTGGGCTGGCAGAGCAGCCAACAGCTCATACAGACCTATAAAATGAAAATAAAACACAAAGTGTAATCTTAGAGTGATCTCATTCATTTCACTTAAGGTGTGTGTAAGTGACGGCTGGAACATGTCTTCTTTACTGGATTTGTATTCTGGACCATTCTCCAAAGAGGCAAAGGAAGCTTTTTGATTTTTCAGTTCCAAATAAGTATGTATTAACAGGCTAGTTTTTAACTTTTGCAGTTGTCAACATTCTACAGCCCTCCAAGTTTACATAACCTGAGACAGAAAATGTGTACGAGCTTTCAATAAAAGAAGAAAAGGCATACATTCCTTTCCTTAATTGTTATTACATTCCCTCAATGTTAGCCAAAGAGTGAAATGAGTCATGAATAGGAAAAACTTCCTTAGAGGAGTAGAAAGTTGACAGAGTGGTCCACTAAAAAGGTTCTGTGGTTTCCAAATCGTTCCTTATATAGCTTCAAAAGACTCTGCATTATCTAATGTCCAAAATCGAGTTCTACAAAGTAAGACAGAATAAACCATGCTTTGTGTTGCATTATTGCAGTCTCTCATTTTTTAAAAAAACAACAATTACATAGAGCTTAGTTTAAATGCGACTCTAGCATGGGGGGCTCTGACACGCTCTGAAAGAGTTAAGGTAACACATGCGGGTAGCCAGGGCGCTTCCCTCGGGCAGCTTCCTAGGAGAAGACAGTAGCGCAGTGTTCCACGGTAGCGCACTGCACAACCATCCATCTCGCTCCGGGGCTGTCAGACTCCTGTCCAAGCAATGCTGCAACGGTGCTTGCCCAGGACTCTTCAGGGAGGTGACCTGGCAGAAGTCAGTATCAACTCACAGCACATGTTTCATTTTCCAGTGGGATTAGATGAGGTAAAAAGGACAAAATTCCTTTTATTTCTGTCTGCTGTCTACAAAAACACCAAGACCTCCTGGGATCTACAACACACGGGACTGTTGTTATTTCTGGTCTGAATAAGTGCTGCTGTTCAAATCACAGAGACAGCTTTACAAGATATTCAACAGCAAAGATCATAGAGTTAATTATGGACTGCTGCTGATCAGTTTATCCATTATCTTCCTAAAGCATTAAGTATTCTGATAATCAGTGATAATGCACAACCAAATGCATTAAGGCCCACTTTGAAAGTTAGATATGTAACCTGAGAGACTAAATTCAAACATTCCTAGCGCTGTTTTTGGCCAAAAAGATCTAAAATTCCCTAGAAAAAAACTATATCCTTAGGTATTCTTAGTGGTTTATATTTATTCCCTTAAGACTCTGGCCTCCTTCCTAAACCAGCTCTTATTTGCAATTTAGTAAATACTTTTAAGGTACCTCAACACAACTCAATACATCCAGGTCTCACTTCATTTATATATACGGGCACATATAACATACCCACGCATTTCAAGAAATCACCAATGCAAAAATCAGTGGTTATGGTCAAAGGTTCAAAATATGAAATTATATTAAAAAAGAAGGTAGAATGTCACTACTTTATTATTGATTTCCGGAGTAGTAAAAATAATTACTTATCTCTTGGTAATGTGATGAGTTTTACTAAGGCTCCTAATTCAACTGTGAAATAATTTCTAAGGTATAGCTGTTGGGGAATTAAATGAGTTAATACATTAGAACAATCCCTGGCACATGGTAAGTATTCAATTTCTTTCATTTGTAACTCAGGTTCAGCCATGTTACAACTGATTACTATTGTTATTCATCATTACTATTACTGAAAAAGCAAAAGTTTGGATCAAACAGACCTCAGGTCTACACTTTAGGCATTCTATATAACTTATCTGAAGTTGTTTCCCTTAGAATTTGAAAAAGAAGTGGTAACCTACACTTGTGGTAAAATCACACAGAAATACACACACACACACACACACATACACGCGCGCGCCCACATGAGTGCATGCATTGGGTTGGCCAAAAAGTCCATGTGTTTTTTTTCAATAAAACAAATTTTTCTTTTTCATCAATAACTTTATTGATTTGGATATTTTGAGTATGTCAGCTATCTCTCCCACTATTGGCTTCTAGTGGGCATAGGCCAGTGGTGCTGATAAACATCCTCCAATGCATAAGACAGTCCCACAGCAAAGAATTATTTGGCCAAAATGTAAGTAGTACCAAGAAGCTTCACAAACCACTTTTACACTTTCAATCAGTCCCAGTACCTTCTCCATATATTGCATGAGCCTTTTTTGTATTTCACTTGCATTTTTGCCTTTCTGGAGATAATAAAGCATAATATGCCAAAAATGTCATGTATTTTCTTCTATCTTCAATATTAAAGTAGCTGCACAGAAATTCACCAATTTTGATAAGTGTGTTTTGAATGCACGCTGATATGACAGCTGTCACAATACAATCTAACAAAACTGTTTTGAATGAAGTCAAAGACAACTAAGCACTACTAGAGCCGTCATAGGGAGAAAACAAAAGGAACCTTTTGGCCAACCCAGTAACACTGGTGAAATCGTACCGATGACTATTTTGCAGTTGCGATTCTCTACTGTATTTATAGGAGTTACCATTGGAGGAAACCAACTCAAGGGTACATGGGGACTTGTTTGTATTAGTTCTCACAACATGTGAATCTATAGTTATCTCAAAATAAAGTCAAAACAAGAGAAGAAATTGAGACAAATATGGTTGTTGCAGGAATTCAATGGAAAACTGCCCAGGACAGCATTTAGCCCTGAGGCTGGCAAAGAGCAGGCATTTGACAGAAAATAATGTTATTCTCTCCTTCCTGAATATGTCTCCTCTAGAATGAAAATCCCATTTCAATGCAATGGTTCAAAGCAAAAACAGCAGCTTAGCTATACATTCCAACTGGACACAATACCATACTCAAAACCACCCTAATCTTTTACATATACAAAGTGTTAACTTTACTGCTTAATTTTTTGTGGGAACAAGCCACATTATGTGTAAGTTAAAAATAATTTCTCTGTAAGAAGCTCATAAACCTGATTTTTCTGTTTTTGACTAGTTTCATGCAATCCTAATTGATATGCCACCCTAATTTGATACTGCAGTGACAACAGCAGTCACTTCTCTTTAGCTCCCACATCTGGTAACCAGAGACCAAAGCCAGAAAAGCTAGGACAGGGCCCATCAGAAATTAAGGAGATGGTTAAAAGAGCTACTAGCACGTATACTGTCTCAATGCAAGCAACACAACCATTCACTTCCACTCAAATCAATCATATAGGCCCTAGAAACCGTCTCAGCCCATGCCTAAAACTAGGTCTATGGCATAACATGTGTTTTAATGTACTCCTATATTTAGTTCCTAGAGCTCTAATACTGAAGAACACTGTGAAAATCAAGTGTTTTTAGTTCTTGAGATTCAGAGAATCAGGAGCTCAAAAGGGTGGCCTGGCCTGAGGACATATCTGTAGGAGTCACTGACTTTTGGATGGTAGGCACCCGTGGTGAGTCTGTGTGGGTTCCCAGAGGGCATAGGTACAGACACAGAAGACGCACCAAAGACTGAGCCCTGGAGGACAAGAGTGGCTGACAATCACGCAGAGAGGCAGGGCACCAGGAGTGTGATGTCCTGGAAACCAAGTAGGGCAAGGAAGAATGAACATCCCCCTGTGTCAACCGCCACTGACAGGGCAGGAGGGCCAAGGGCTGAGAGTCACCCACTGGATTGAGCAATGTGAAGGTCACTAATTTTATCACTGTGGTGGGCAAAGAAGGCTGGGTGAGGAGCACCAGAAGGATAAAGAGACATGCTGGAAATAGCAACCACAGACAACTCTTACAAACATAGGCAACCCTTACAATTTCTTACTAACAAGAACTGATGTTTGTAAGGGAACAAGGGTAAAGAAGTTTTTTCAAGATGAAAAAAATAACACTTTGGCACTAACGGCCTTAATCTACCACAGAGGGAAATTCTGACAATGTTAGAAAGGGAGAGGTTTTGCAGAACTCTGCCCTGCAGTAAAATGAGCAGGAATGGGGTCAGGGCATACGTGGAAGGATGGCTTTGGACCAAAGGGCGGACAGTTCACCCACGGTCCCAGAGCGCAGAAGGTGGGTGGGGGGAACATGAGGCAATTCCCTAATGACTGCTGCAGTGCTTTCCATAAACTATGAAACATGGTCATCTGCTGAAAGTGAGCGTAGGAAAGAGTTTGTATTTGAAAGAAAAGACTGGAGACGGTCATCTGGGAAACAGAAAAATGGATAAAGTAGGGAAGTCATAAATTGGTACACATAATAGCAATATTAAAATTTAAAGCTCGCATTCCCTTTGGTCAGTAATTCACTCATTCACTCATTCATTTATGCTTCTAGGTAACCTGGAGGCTCCGCGCAGGACCTATACCCAACTGTTAGGCAGTGTTGAATCTTGGAAGAGAAACCGGAAGGACGGGAAACAATCACTTCATTTTTGCTGAGCGTAGTTCCACAGTGCTTGAGTTTTTACAAAATACAGGCACACCTGGTTTTATTGTGCTTCGTTTTATTGTGCTTCACAGACGTTGCAGTTTTTACCAATTGAAGGCAAAACCCTCCACCAGCAAAAAGTTTAGGATTCACTTTATTGTGATACTTTATTGCGGAAGTAACACCTTTGAGGTATGCCTGTGGACATTACTTTTATAATTTTGAAAATTCCACTTCTGGGTAATACATCTGACATGATCCTTTCCCAACAGCATAGCTCGCAACTTCTCCTCAAATTCTGTTTCGGCCACAGTGGACTGCTACTTGCTATACCCTGAAAAGTATAACTGTATCCATGTAATCTTTCACCAGTTCACCAGATAATTAACTTCTGGTGATTGCTACTGCTGTCACAGTCTCTCGTTCAAGATCCCTGAGATGATCTGAAAGAGAAAACAAGCAATGCTAACATTCTTACCTCAAAGTTTCAAGGACAAGTTTAACAGAACACACTTGACATTTCAAGGGGTGTATGTAGAAACTTGGCAAACTCCCTAATCCCTCCGCATTTCAGAATCCCACCTGATCCTTTCCCTACC